GCTTCTCCCTCTCCCACTCCCCCTGCTTGTGTTCCCTCTCTCGCTGTGTCTCTCTCTGTCAAATAAATAAATAGAATCTTTAAAAAAAAAAAAAAGACAGAAAAGGAGAAAACAAAGGTCGGGTCCATTCAGATGGCCTAAAGGTGCCCCAGCAATTCACAGATGCCACTAGGACCTCAGTCTCTACTAAAGAATGCTTCCAAGCTCCAGGTAACAGCTGAGATAGCCAAACAAGCAACAAGCCACCAATCTGGGGGACAAAGAATTTGTAAGCCCTTGGCCAGAGTATGTGTACATGTGAGGGGGGCTGTTAAGTAACCAAGTTCAGAGCAAAGCCCTACTTTCTGGTACCCCCACCTCCTCACACCTGCAAGGCCTGAGATCAACCAGCTTTCTCACTTGGCAGGTGAGAAACCCCAACCTGAACAGTCCTGGCCAACAGACACTGATTAAGAACCCAAATAAGCCGAGTGCCAGTTCAAGGCCCCTTTCAATACACCCCTCAAGCCTCCAATGGGTGTGTCTCTTCTACTCCAAATGCCAGGGTGGAGTCCAAGTGGTCTCTCCCATTATTGGAGGGAGGCTCACACGGCTGACACCCTCCGGGGTGGCAATCACAACCAGACCCGACTCAAGGAGCCTAGGGAGGGAGAACTCGGATGCCAAGGGGCCACAAAGCTACCGCTACCTCTTTTATCACCCCACCACATGCCACATACTCTACAATGACGGGGTATTTGTTATGAATAAAACGTTTATGCTCATCCATATACTTGTATACTCGCTCAGTGGCCGTTCCTCTAAACCAAAAATCTTAACTAAAAAATAATGACGCTGGTGGTCAACCGCCATGCCTACAGGGAGGAAGTCTCGTCTCGGCGCGTATGCCTTTCGCGGGGACCGGGGTACCCGCCCTGGTTCTCAGGCCCTGGGGAGGGGTCCTTCGGGAGCACCCCGAGCCTCGACTGTACTGACGTCCCTGGACGCTTCCTCCCAGTAACCCTACACGGCACGTGACTCTGTCGTCCCCACCGCACCGCTGCAGAAGCGGAAGCGCAGTCAGAAACTCACGCGGCGAGCAAGCGGCAGGGCCGGGCCGCCTGGCGCCGGGCCCCGCAAGCGGGCTGCAGGTGCCGG